AATTAGAAATCTCAGACCTGTGTTCTAAAAGCTAATTTAAATATTTAAACCTAAGAATTAGCAAAAAATTAGAACTCGAACCCGAGCAACGCCGGGTCCTAAGAGCTAGTGAATGATTCAGTAGTTCTAAAAGAAGATTCATGAGGGTCAATTGACGCGATATTTTGATCATCTAACGTTTGTACTTGACTAATGAATGGTTCAGTAGTTCCGAAAGAAGGAATAGTAGTGATATGATTATAAGTATGTAAGATTCCGAAGTATGAATAGGGAGATTGAAAATTTTCAATAGCATCAGAAGTGTTAAGTGGCGTAGTATTTTGATGATTTGATTGGTCAATAAATGCTTCGGCAATTCCGAAAGAAGAAATGGGCAACCTAGACTTTCGCCCGCGTCTTCTGCCCAAAATATTGGTACAGGGAAGTCTATGATTCCTACAGTATGTACAATCGTCCCTTTCAGAAAGCCTTTCGCACCTTTGATGTCTCGTTCGACAATTTGTACATGCTTGAGTCGCATTAGTACGTGATCTTTGCGGCTTACTTAATTGAAGCATTTAAGATATCTAATACTTGTTAAAAAAAATTTAAAAGCACTCTAATAACAGCGGTGAATATTACTATACTTGTACGAGTATTAAATAATATATTGTGCTATGAGTAGTAAATAATAATATGATCTTTGATCATAAGAAATAAAGACTGAATAGTGCCGACAAAAAGGACACTTTTTGCTTTTTATATTTAAAAAAAACTCATGGTTTGAAAATATTGAAGATTTATATTGGAATCGTTTTACATTATTATTATTTTTTTTTAACCCAAATTTGTATCATTACGATGTTTTCTTAAACCTTTTAAAAAATCTGTCAAAAAGGGTAACCCGGACCAATTTGTATCACCAATACGTAAAGCAAATTTAACTAAAACAGATTCGTACGATTCAGCAGTTGCCTCACAAAGTTAATTGGGTAAAATTCACCACCCAAATTTTTTTCAGATCATGTGAATTTATTTATTCGAAATATGTAACAACGCAAATGAATACAGTAATAAATCTCCGCTTCGCTTCACTTTGGACGATCATATTATATGTTCTGAAAAAAATTTGGGTGGTGAATTTTACCCAATTTAATAAATCCACCTAGTATCATTAGGGCTATATTACGAAAATTACAATCCCACATGTGTTTTTACGAAAATTTCAGTAAAGCAGATGTAATTTTCATCGCGTTATATATAAAGTATCGGCTTTACAAAGTCCGGTCAAGATTATTACATCATTTGACTTGAATATATGATCCAAATTTACAGTGATTTTAAAATCGGACACGTCTTGAGTATTATTTTAATTATGAAACTTGTAAAATCCTGATCTTTCAATGAGAAATTATTTGTTCGAATTATTCAAAGAAATTATTTAATCATTGTAAATATTGAATATATGATATTTACGTCTCAAATACTTAAGATGTATTTACATTCAAGTTTCATATCATATTTTAGTTCAAATTTTATAACGTTTATTTATTTTTTTAGGTAAATACAAAGTTGTTTCTCATTTTATATATACATAATTTTAGAAATTTACTAAATTGATTATTTTTTTTAACACGTATATGCCTTATACAGTATTTTAATATTCTTAGTTTCTTTGACCTTTATAATAAAGGAAGTTTACGAATTTTGTTATATTTAATATTTTTAGAAATTTATAAAGCATAATAACACCGTATTTTCGTGTAATAACACTCATGAGCATTATTTCCCCTTAATATAATACGCGTCCCAAAATAACGCGCACCACATAGTAAGTGATGGTTATTTATAGTAAGATTTAAAATACTTTGGAACTGGATTTAGTACTAAGTAAACCTTCGAACTTCAACAAAAGATGTTTTTCAGAACAACTTTTTGTTAAAGTTCGAAGGAAGGTTACTTAGTACTAAATCTAGTATTTTGGTTGGTTACTTTTCTACAGGAATTACATAAAATTTTTTAATTGTCTCAAAATAACGCTCATCATAATCGAAATAACGCGCAGGTGAGCGTTATTACGCGAAAATACGATAATAGCTTTTTAGAAATATGATGAGCACTCAATCATGGTTTTTACTATTTGCAATAAATTAGCTTTTCGATAAGGAGAACGAGGATTATGAAAAATGTGCAACCTCTACTGTATTTAGAAAACATGATACGTAATCACAAATCATTGTTAATAATACTATTATCAGTGAATGAATTTATGCTCTGTACGTACGTACTAATCTTGGTGGTGATACTAGGTGGGTTACTCGAATCATTTGTCGAGCCAATTTATTCGAGTTTATTCAAATGTGTAACAGACTTGATCAACACGCTAGTTTTCTAATAGTTTTAGTGATTAGATTTTTCAAGGATCGAGTCTGATAAATAACAAATATTTCGAAATTAATAGCACTCATATATTTCATGTTACAATTTAAAAAGAGCAAGCATATTTTAATACACTTAACAATTGCGAATCATAATTCGAATCAGGATTATACAAGTTAATGAGTCTAATCGTAGAAAAAACTCCGCCACGTGTCTAGATTATTATTAGTGGTGTAGTTTGTATGGCGATATGATAATCTACTATATATTATAATATAACAATATTTGAAAGGATACTCGATCCATTCTCAAAATATATATAGCCACCAATTTCTCACTATACACCAATGCATACTTCAAATGCAAAGTAAACATTTTTATAGTATAACCATCTTAATTATGATTCTATTACAATATTTTCTTTGTAATTCAAAATAAGATTGTTGTCAATATGGGTAAACACAATTATAATTGAACCATTTATTGAATTAATATATCTAAGAGCGACAAATAGTGTGAGAAATACAAACAAGAGATTTGGATAAAAGAATGACATAAAACTTTTGACATAAAACTTTTACATAATTAAACATGTAATTAATCTTATTTTCATTTTTATACTATTCCCAACCTTTCTTTTTCTTTTTTTTTTTAACCTTTTATTATAATTGGATATCAAAGTAATTAAATTTTTTTTTTTTTTGTTTTTTTTAGAAAGTCTAATTACTTCTTCTGATCCTGTTTACTCACAACTCGATAGTCTGATTGCTTCAAATTATGGATCTTTTCACGCTTGGCATTTCCCTTAACTGATGTATCGTATAGGTACTATCACAAAAGCAAAGACAATTACAAATACACAGTTTCTTAACTAAGGTTGATTTAGAAAATCTATCTATAGAATCCAAACTTCTCAAATTCAAACTTCTTGATCAATCTCTTAAAGGATCATGATCCTTATATATTATTAATTATTGTATCACCAATTAATTCTACAGACTGTAGGAATCTTGTAAACGCGACGCATTAGCGACAAGCAATTCAAATATGTTGCAAAATTGTCAAACCTGACACATGAGGTACTAAAATTCACCACGACAGTATCTATTTTTTTTTTTTTTTTGACTAACCATTTCGAAACTCACATGATGCAATGATTTTGTGAATGTATTTACTTTGCAGCATTTCAAAAAGAAGTCTGAGATTCTTTTTGTACTTTTTAAAGAAACTTAACTGAATAGAAATTGACAGAAAAAAATCTTAGATATGTACATACGTACGTACGTATATCTGGGTCACCACAAATTTGTAAATTATTTCTAAAGGAAAGAATGTAAAGATAAGACTAATCAACCTAACGAATCAGATGAAAAAACAAACTGATGAATAACTGAAAGTTTGGCTTTGCCAAACTTTGTCCATGTTAGAATATATGACGGCGATATAATATTAACAATATAAGCTATAATGCTAAAAAAAATCTTAGAAGTTTTTAACCAAAAGTTAAAAGAAGTCGTTCATTTTCTTTGAACACAAAGAGAAGAACTAACAGTATCTTTTTACTATGGTAAATAGGTTCTCATTTTTGCTATAGTAATTCCGAATTAACTGTTTTAATATCTGGAAATAAGCGTAAAGGAAATCTAATTTTAATTGAAATTGATGACGCATTTAAGAGATCCGGCAATCTGATCTTATCTTCAATTTGAACTTAACTTTTACTTTTTATTTATTTATTTTTTTTACCAAGTATTATAAAAATATTCCGATTTCATGAAATGAGGATCTCCAAACACCCCATTTCATTTTCCGATTTTAATATCTTGAAAAACAAATAAGATTTTTTAAACTCTCATTTAATTTCAAAATGCGTCACTTATTTGTTAACTTTGAAACCCCCTATTGGTTATTTTTATTTATAATGTAAATAATATTTATTGCTAATTTAGAATAGAAAGACAAACTTTTATTCTCAAATCTTTAAGATAGAATTGCAAAAAACATAAGGACGAATTTTTTTGATTTTGATTACTAAAATTAATACCATTTAATAAAATTTTGTTTTTTTTTTTACTTGTTTATAAAAAAAATGAAAAGATTAAAATTGTATGATTTTTAATTGGTCTATTATATACTTGTTTTTAATACTATACTTTGATATAACGATGCTACACATGTGTCTAGAGTTAGCCAATTAATATCATCAACCTTTAAATTATATATGTAATCTAGAACATATTTGCTACGTGAAAATTTAGGATAATAAATTTTTCATAACACTAACAGCATTATTTTTTGTACAATAATTTATTAAACTATTATCTACTTAATCTAACTATAATAGGGGGTTTCAAAGTTAACAAATAAGTGACGCATTTCGAAAATAGGATTTTTTCAATAGTATTTTTACTATGTTGAATTATAAATCGGCAAAATAAAATGAGATTCTCTGATTTTAACTTTGAAACCTCCTAATATAAATAAAACCATGAGACAGCTACTCGTGACTAATTTATAATGACAGATCGGTCTTCAAAAAGACCAATACTAGTCGAAATTAAAAAATCAACGTGTTGATCGAATACCATTCAGCATTTGATTTTTTTTTTTGTTCGGTACAAGACTGAACTGTAACAGATCAAAGATCAAATAATTAAACCAGTTTTGTCTAGGCTCAAATTATGATTCTAACTGATAAAAATCAATAGATTCTTTTTCAACAAAATAACAGCACCGGCACTAAAATTTTTTGTCTCTATTTTCAACATTTCTTAAAATATTAAAGCATGTAGTAATAATAATATGAGTGGCTCTCTAATTAATAAGTTTTTTTAAAAATTAATACACCGAAGCCCAAATTTTATAATAATACTTACAAATTTTCTTATTATATGACAATCATTACTTCTTGTACCTTAATAAATTTCTTGATTAATGCTTTATTTATAATGTTTTAAAGAGGTCTTATTGGTTAAGTTTTGTAGGATATCAGCATTATGTAAAAATCAAAAGATCGTCACGGTAATGTTTATCTGATTGGACATCGATAATTTCAACTTTAATTTTTATTTTATTTTAGTTTTCTTTTTACTAAGACTTTATTTTTCAATTATAACATAACGATAATATAAAGCAATAATTAATGCAATTTGCAACACATAT